GTATCAGATCTTAACTTTTTGTCTCTGTTCTGGTTTTCTGTTATTGCGCAAATTCAGGATGTGCAAGTAGCACAAAGCTTAGGCTAGGGGGGGCTATGTCATGCTTGTCACTCCCTGTATTCCAAGCAGACAGAGAGCAATAAGGCACTTCGTCTTGACAAACAAAGTACAAACCAAGCATACTGCACTCCAGGTGGGAACCTTAGTTCTTGCCTGGCGCGGTGTGCAACGTGTGCAGATCTGCCTGAATGGACGAAGCTGCGCTGCTGTGGACGCAGGTATGAGGCAGGGGCAAGATGTGTATTCGCAAGGCACTTGGGAGGCATCAGTGTATTGTGTGAGTCAAGGTCGACATTGAGTCCACTAAAGACAGGTGGATGCAGGCTAAGTTGACTAGCTTCGCTCGATGACCTGAGGCTCAAAATTTGGCATAAATCAATGGAAGACCACTGCGCTTGCAATCGGAATCTCCAAAATGCCGAAAGAAAGGGAGCAGTGTGGTTGCTATCATGCAGTCCCAGGCGGAGTGGGCCAGGTTGCTTCTGCTTTTTGGGGGTTTGGTTGTGTTTGTTGTGTGTTTTGGGTGCTTGGTTTTTTCTTGTGCTGCAACCAGTATTGTAACTCTCTCTTCATTTGAACAAGGTGACTTGTGCAGAACCTGCACACATAGCGCCTCGACTCGTGCAAAAAATCCTGACTTGCTAGTTAAAGTCGGTCTGATCTGATTGCCCACGCCTCTACAGGCACAAAGCAACATCCCGGGCATCTGCTTCTGTCGCTCATAAGTTAACCAATCCGTCCAGGCCCAGCAACCAAGCCATGAATAGTGTCAGCAACTTCGACTTGGCTGCAAGCTTATCAAGTGGCCTTTTTGCACAATTCAACGTCCGATTTGTTTCACCCTGCATGTACATTCAAGAGTCTCCTGTTTTCTTCCCTGGTCGGTTGTTGTTTGGAGGTGGTTTGTGTTGGTGTTGTATTTGTTGCTTGGCACTTCATACTGGAGACTCTTTCAAAAACAGCACAAGCTGACCCATGCATTTTACATGAATGGCGGCTCCACCGGTGGAAAACAAGCGCGCTGCGTGGCCGCTGCAGGGTGGTGCTGGTGCAGGGCGGGGCGCTTCGGAGCGATGCTGCCGCTGGAAGCTTGGATGCTGGTGCTCGTTGGGAGCTTGCGAGCTGCGAGCTGCACCCCGTTGTTTTTCATTTGTTTCTTTTCGTTTTGTGTTGGTTTGGTTGCATCTTTCCGTTGCTCACGTGCCGTTTGCAGTGTTTCATTTGGTTTTGTGACAGGTCTATTTTGTTTGCTTGATTTTTTTCCTTGTTTCTGTTCGTTGCTTTACTGGTAGACTGTCTCCCACAGAAGGAGCGGGATGCTGTCTCACCACCACAGGGCCAGACCCACGACAGCTCCAAGCCGATCAGCTGACTGTAACGAAACCACAGCTGGAACTTGCATCTCTTTTCCCAGCAGGTCTTGCAGCTCCGTCTCACACCAGCAAAACGCTTTTTTCACCACCCTCAACTTTCGATCAGTGTTTCATTGACAGAGTCCATGGACTTTCGGTTTCAAAGGCCCGGACATTTTTAGGTTTGTGATTCACTCGCGGTTGGCTGTTGCGATGTGAACTTCAGTCTGTTTTTTTCAAACAACATTGATTGAACCTGAACCTTTGTGTTGCAAAAAACTGAAGAGCATGTGGGACTGTGTTTTCGAGGAAGGCTCGCCTGTTTTGTTTTGGTGGGTCATGTGCTGTTTGTCCGAAGGTGCTGTGATTTGTTTGATTGTTGGATTTGTGTCGGGGACTTGCTTGTTTTTTTTTTGAGGAAATATGTTTCGTAATGATTGCGTAAATGTCTGTTGGGGTTGTTGTTGGGGGTTCTTGCGGATGTTAATGCTGTCATGTTCCGTTGGTGGTGTGTGTGAATTGTGGCGCGGTCGGATGCAGCCATGCAATACAAAGGCTGGAATGACATTGCAGACTGAGAAAGAGACCGAGCAACCAAAGTTATGGACCCGGCCATGGTTTGGAAGAACCAGGGCCGTGGCCAATGAAGTGAAGGGGTGGTGAACCGGCCTTGCAGCTGGTGCTTCCACCGTGGGCGTGGGCGAGGATCAAAGCATGGGTTCAACCCCTGGTTCCTGACATGCCCACCATTGTATTCTGTATTACGTGTACATCTTAGGCCTGATCTAGAGCGCCACAACGAATCAAATTTTGTTTCAGGGGATGAACAATGATAGCAATGAACGTGTTTCTAACATCCTTACCTGATTCTTTCTAGGTTCAATTCCATAAAACAAATTGATTCTTTGTGGGATGTTCGAAGCAATAGGATAATGGCTGGCTTTGGAAGTGCAATGAGAGAAATGCTTTCATGTTTTTTCGGCTCTTTGGAGTGCGTGTTCCTCCCTCTTCGAGTCGTGACGCGGCGCGGCGAAACGTGGAACGTACGAGTTCCATGGCGCTGGGAGATTGGGACGAAGTTGCTGTGGGCAAGCAACCTGGGCTGACCTGGGGCGGTGCAAACATTTTTTTACCAGAGGTGTGTGTATTTTCTGTGTATAAATGCGTCCATGTCGGTAGGGCCTGGTAGGGTGGACCCGACGTGTGGGAGACGTTTCTGAGACATGTTGGAGACGTGTTTGCATTGTAATTTCGGGCCATCAACTGATGGGGGCCAGTGCCATGTTCTTGGCTTAAGGAAAACGTTTCTTTCAACTGAAATCATGTGTGATTTCAGCTGAAATCCAGCCCGTGGGCCCTTGGGCCCAGGTATGTGTATTGGAGCAACGTCCAAGATGATGTTCCGCTGGCAGATCTGGGAGAGGTGCTTTCAGCAGATGGTTCCAATCGCGTGGTTCGCTTTGCGAAGAAAGAAGTGAAAGACAAGGTTTGGACGCTAAGTCTGAAAGCAGACATGTTACATCATATTTGGAATCAAAGTGCTCCGATTGTTATTGGCATATTTTCGGCTTCTGTGCTCTCAAGTAAGGATGTTCAGGCTTGCTGACATTCAGAAAGAGACCTTTGTCCATGCAGTTGTTGACGGCGTGTCTCCTCATTCAGTTGGACTCGTGAGGGAACTGAAGGGTGGTCAACTGTTGGTTCACATCGAATCTGCACCTTAATCAGGCAGTTTTTCCTTTTCATTCTGTTCGACGTTTACTTCGTGGCAGCGCCAAAGGCCCCTGGCCCTGCGTCACCGCGTGGTCACCGCATGTCACTCGGTCGTCCGAGGAAGGCAATGGGCTGACGGCAAACCGGACGGATCTGCTGAAAAGCCAACTACAGCCTGGTTCACGTGTGCGTTGGACTATCAGTAGTGACGACATACCACGAGGTGAGCTTGGCGAAGTTCTCCTGGACGTGAATGCCTACAGCGACATCAAGGTGAAGTTCTCGGCTGGAGAGTTTCGAATGAGGTACTCTGAGATGTTGCTTCGGAATGGTCAGTGTTTTCTATTTTGAGATGTATGGTGAAAAGGTCTTAAGGTGAACACTTTTTTGGAGTGAACAGTGAACACTGGTTGGCTGTTTGCCTGCCAGCTTGGGCTCCGCCCAGGGGGCCTCCGACGGTTTCTTCCCAATGGGGCACGCCGGTCGTGCCTGGGTTCTTTTGAGGCCCCTTCCAAAGATGGACGGTTACGTCCACCCGGGTCTGTGTGAAGGTTCTGGTACCTGAACCATGGCATCCATGGTTCATTTCTGCAGGGTCAGTGGCGAAGCCGCCTTCGCACCAAGACCACTCGGTCAGCTGAGGGTCTTGGCTTCGGAGTGTGGTAACAGCATCACAGTGGGCCAGCGGCTCGGCGGGAAACGGCGGGTCTGGCGTGGTTCGATGTGAAAGGCCAGGCGCCACAAAAGGACGAAAGGACGAAGGTCAGGGTTCATGGGCTAACAGAACAAGGCTCCGCGGCTCCAGGCTGTATTTTTGGGTGTTCCCCAGGTATGTGTATTGGAGCAATGTACAAGATGGTGTTCCGCTGGGAGATCTGGGAGAGGTGCTTTCGGCAGATGGTTCCAATCGCGTGGTTCGCTTTGCGAAGAAAGAAGTGAAAGACAAGGCGTGGACACTCGACGAAGAGGAGGACTTAGCAAGACTTTTCTGATGCGCGCTAAGATGTTTGGACGGATTGATTGGAAAATCAATTGGATTGAAGTTTCGGTCCTTTCTTTCGCTAAGGATGTTCAGGCTTGCAGAGATTCAGAAAGATGCATTTGTGCACGCTACAACAAGTGGCATACCACCTGATGCAGTTGGAGTGGTGAAGGATTTGAAAGACGGTCACTTGCTGGTTCACATTGAATCTGAGCCATAATCAGACCTCGGCCCGCTTTGTTTCATTGAATCTTTTCTTTGGTGCATTGCAGTCCTAGTCTTTTTTGCTTTGGTCACACTTGACACTTCAGGAGGGCAATGGGCTGACGGAACACCGAACCAATTTGCTGAACAGCTCCCTACAGCCTGGTTTACGAGTCCGCTGGACCAAGAGCGATGAACAAATCCCTCGTGGTCATGTTGGAGAAGTCCTTGCGGACGTGAATGCCTACAGCGATGTGAAGGTGAAGTTTCCCTTCGGTGAGTTTCGACTGAGATACTCCGAGATGCTACTTGGATCAAGCGTCTCCAGGTTCCGCGTCTCCTGGTTCCGCGTCTGAGCGGTCGGACCAGTCGATGGGGAGTCTTCAAGGGGTGAAGCTCCGGTCGTTCAGTCTGAAGACGAAAACGTGTTGTACCCGAAGCCTTTCAAAAGCCGCGATACACCCGTTTCTCAACACATCACGCCGGGCACGTCTATTTCCCACATGGCTTGTTACGAACAGTCAAAAGAAACAGTCGATTCGGGGAGACAGGATTTCCTTCCCTTTCGACTTCTTCCGTTCTCTCTTTTGCACCTTGTCGTCTCCTGGGTTCTTGGTTTCCCAAAGCGAACCGTCCCAACTCGGCCAGGACGCAGGCGCCGCTCTCGGCGATCCCCGAGGAACCTCCGATCCATCACGTCGGTCGATCCGGCTCGATGGGCCCGGGGCGGTTGGGTTGGGGTTCGTCGGGGTTGGGCGGTTGGTGGGGGGTTTGGGCGGCTCAAGTGACTGAAGTGTTTCTTTTTCCCCAAACAGTTTACTGTTGGGGTTCTATCTTAGAAAGAAAAGAGCTGGCCACACTCATTGACCTAAACGAATCGTTTTGAAGCTGTTTGGGGTCTATGCTTGAATTTCTTCTGCCTCTTTTTTTTGGGGTCTTTGTGATGTCCGCGGCTGGGCGACGTAGCTGGACGGAGTCGTTTCTTTGATCCGCCTTTCAGGAGATGTTGGGTTTAGGGTCTTTGGGGTCCGTGCCAGTGCAGTTGTGATTTGTAAGTCGAAACTTAAATGGTGTGTTTTCCAGCTATCTTTCTCAACCATGATTGCTTCATTGTTGTGTTTGTTTTTTATCTTTTTTTCCGTTCAATTGGTCTACATGACAAGTTGGCGCGGTTTGGGTCAGACGCGCGTTTTTCAACGTTCCACTCGGCCTCACGTGACCGGGGCTTCCACCCGACGCTACCGGCCGCGACCGGCGACGGTGATCAGGAGCCCTTGGCCAAGCTGAAGCGGATCTTCAACGACTTCCGTGGTGGGCGACTTCCGGTGGAGGAGCGGTGCTGGTGAAAGACAGAGGGACAGAGGTCCTGCCTGGGGAACGGTGGTGGGTCTGTGCCAGGCTGCACCTGCAAGAGGTCCTGCCTGGTCGGCCTGCAACCTAAGGTAACCAAACCATCATCATGCACTGGGCCCCCCCCAAACAAATGGGGACAGACCCAAAGCATATTATGTTCCAACCCCAAAGAACCAGAAACACAATGAAACACCCTGGATGTTGGGGAGAAACAACCTGGTTGTTTGGAGTTCCAGGTTATCTATCTATCATGGCACCACCGACTGGACCCGGACTCCTCGAGATCCGACTCCTCGAGATCCGTTCGGCGACCTCTGGGAGGGCGCTCCCAGCTGCTCCCAGCTGAATCCGACCGCTCGGGCTCTCCATGGGGGTCGGGGTCGGACCCGACCTCCACCGGAAACGCAGGGGGACATGGGGCTCGGTTCCCAAACCCTATCTGTTGGTGAAGGATCCCGGATGCTTTCCCAGCTGCTTCCTTTTTCCATTTGTGGCCCAAGGAGGATCGATGTGACCTCTTCAGTCTTCACCCCGTTTCGCTCCTTTTCGATGTCTCAGCTTCGATGCGCGAGCTTCGCTCCGAAGCGAAGTCCCCGAAGTCAAACGCTGGTCCGAAGGACCTCTTTTGCCCTACAGGTCGACCTCAGGAAAGACTGGAGATGGGTCACACAAAACCCATTCTCAAGGGGGTCAAGGACCAGGTTGTACTGGGTCAGACTGGAAATGAAGGGTTGAGTACCGTTTTTTGAAAGAGCTCCCCGGACATGACGTGACATGAGGTCCTTACGTCCCTGTAAAGACACCGTGTCCGCGCAGGATTTCGTGGACATATTGAAGCGGCTGGGCTTCGCCGAGACCGACGGCCTCGCCGCTTTGTTTGGCCAAAGAAGAGAGGCCAGAAGGCCATGGATCCACCAAGGTGGTTCCTTATTTGGCAGTTTTTCTCCAACAGCGAAGCTTATAAGGGTCTTCAGCCATAGTAAAGACTTCGGAGCAGATCGCAGCAGGTGCCGCAGCAGGTTCTGTTGCTTGTTCCGGAGCAAGTTCTGGAGCAGGTTCTGGAGGGGGTTGCAGAGGAGGTTCCTTCTGGTGGAAGTTCCGGGGCAAGTTCCCGAGCACTTTGCAGATCTGCCGGTGAGATGATTCGTGTTGTCACGCTGATGGGCTTCTGTGATGTGTCACTCTGACATGTTGTCATGCTGGTGTGCTGGTATGGGTCCCGCTAACATGCTGACATGTTGTCACGCTGAGGTGCTGAAGTCGGGTCATGCTGTTGCGCTGGCAGGCTCCAGAGCAGGCTCCGGAGCATAATTGCTGGTTCTTGCTTGTGGTGTCGTTGTCGTGCTTGCACATATGCGGCCCGCATGATGTGTGCTACGCCGACGTTTTGTCGTGTTGGTATGCCTGCGTGGCACATTGGAAAATTAGATCTTTTGAAGGGAGCACTGTCGGGCAAAAACAGTGGGACGCTTATCGGTTATCTTGGGATGGTGGTGGCGGATTTTGATCACGTTCCGAAGGCACCAACAAAAGGCACCCACATGCGAGTCTTTTCAACTTTTGGGACTTTGAAGTCTCCAGTTGAGGACTTGTCGAGCCAACTCCCTCGCGGCAAAGATGGCACCTGCAGCGGGAAGGATTTCATTTCGTACCTCTTTCCACGCTGAAGGCAGTTCGCTGACGGTTCTCAGCGCCAAAGTTCGCAGGTGTTTGAAGAGCACAGACCAACAGACTGGCTGTCTGTTGAACATGTAGCAACGCGGTTTGGGCCCATGCTTGACGTGTTTTTCGGAGCTGGTCTTGATGTGGTTCGGTGTCCTACGTTGGTTCCAATAGTCGGCTGAACATTGCTTGATAGAGGGATTGAACTTGGATTTGTTTCAATAGTTTTGGTAGAGCCTTGAGGATTCAAACCGCTGAAAGTCCTCCACGCAAACCTTGTGCGGTTGGGCCTTTTGTTGAGAGGATCATTGGACCAAAGTCGTCCGATTAGACTCAGTCCGTTTGAAGAAGTCTCATATGGTAGCTATCCAGATTCAGAAAGGCTAGGGACGAGCCTTCTAGCTCTCAGAGAGTACTTGAAGCCATTTTTATGAATGGTAGACTTTCAGAAGTGTTTCTTGGTCTCGCTTGCTTGAAAGAAAAGAACTTGACAACATGTGTTGAGCATACATCCGGCCAACACCCCTTTTTTGTTTGCTGTAGTTCATTGCACTTCCTGGTATGCTGGGTTCATTTTGGCTTGAACATAGCAATCTCTGCTGGATCTTGAGGAGTTTTGATTCAAAGAATCTTGGACTTTGACACTGGTGATTTACTGTAGATTGGATGAACACAGGGCCTCGGCGGGCAGAGAAAATATGTTCAGGCTTGCCATCTCAATCAGGCTAGCGGAAGCTCTCAAGCAAAAATGCGACATACTCTCTCACTTGTGTGTTTGTGTTTGACAATCGTAGTAATTCCCAAAGAGAGAGTAATTTTGGGATGCCTCATTCTATGTAAAGGACCCAGACCCAGCTTCTTGTTTCTACTCCTTTGCTTTGATGGCCACAAGAAGGTGTGTCTCTTGATGGGACTGACGAAATCATGATCTTCGGTAGCTGGGAAGCCCAAAGAATGGCTCGCCCGTCTCACCCGGAAGATCAACGGCATCCGGTGAGGTATCAAAATCAGGAGACCTCCCAGGCAACGACTTCCCAGGCAACAACCTCCTGGAAGAAGGGAGAATAGACCTGAATCGAAGACGGTGCTTCGGTCCAGGGACTGGATGAGACGCTGGATTCTCCATTCTCTCCAAATGGGGCAGGAGTCGTTCGTGCGTGTATGAAGATCTGGGAGAGTGGGACTTGCTTGCCAGGATCTTGCTCAACCACCAACACGAAGGACCAAACCATGCCAGGATTCTGATGGCACCTTCATGTCATCCCTCTCCCCAGATCCGGGCCCCGGGCGGTGACCATGGTCATCATCGGTGACTAGGCTGAAAAGGCTCAAAACATCGGATGACAGGTCTGGACCGGTCTGGACCGACCTGGGGTCTCCCAGGAGACCCTTTTCCGGGAGGGTCTCCCTCCCGGAGGTCTCCCGGGAGACACATGGGAGACCGTATGGTGGGGATGTGAGACGGGAAGTCGATCGTCTTCCATCAACGGCACAGTTTTGGGTGACATCTTTGATTTGGTGGCTCTTGCGGGTTAGTGCATTGTGGCTAGCGTACAGGTCTCTGACTGGTGGCGTGGGGTGCTAGCTTTGGTTGGGTAGGCAGGTTTCACAGACGCAAGGACTTTCCCTAAAACATTTTCTAGTGGGCAGAATCTTTAGAAAGGCTGCAGCTGCTTGCCCAGTGCACAGAGTGTGCACTCTGTTCAGTGAACATCTGCGAAACTGCCACTCTGTTTGGAAGTCTGGAGACACAAGGCGAGACTGGCTATATACTCTTGTGGGCTACCCCAAACTCGTTGGGAGTTGGGAGGATTCTCTCTTTCTTTTCAACACCCTTGGCCTTGGGGGACCCCAGCTTTTAACACCCGCGCGCTGTCACCGAGCTAGCTCGTTCAAGCTCGTTGGGCCGAACCTGGACTGGACGGACTCCGACCTGGCTCAAGACCCCTCAAAGGGGGCCTTTGGAGACACGTAGACGGCTGCAGGGAGGTCTGGGGTCCCAGAGAGGGGGCTGATAGGGGTCGATCTGTGGGCGCGAAGCGTTGGGGTGTTGAAGGGACGGAGGTGCAGCGGGGTTGTGGGAAGAACCGCACTTCGGCATGTGCCAGTTCAGAGTAGCGGAGTGTAGACTCAGGTGTGAGGAGATACTTGTGAGGGTGACAGTTTGGGAGTGCGGCGGCGCGGCGGCGCCGCTGCAGCTCTGCTCTTCTTTCTTGATGAATCCTTTTTTTCGGTTCCGAACTGTTCTGCTCCTTATTGTGGAGGAATCATACACAAAAGTAGAATTTAACGATATAAGCATCATACAAAAAGAATATCCGTAAAAAAGATGACACTTATTTTCTATTTAAACTAATCCTTTCTTTGGTCTACTTTTCGGGTTCGCTGGCGTTCCACCGACCAGTTCCACCCCGAGTCAGCTGACTCGGCACGAGGCTCCGTGAAGCATGTCGGAGCTCCTGCAGAATTGGCTCAACAATGAGGCTGACCGGGGGGCGGTTTTGGTGAGTGGAGTCTTTTTTTCATTTTCAGGGTGTGGCAAAACATTTTTTTCCTTAGACAGTTGCTTTTAGGTCTTTTCCTTTTCGTTGCAGACACATACAAACACCGAACTTGTGGTCGATCTCTTGTGAAATCTCAGGTGGGCCTTTCAACCAATGTCTCGAATTTCGAGAAGGACGGCGCGCGCCGCGCGTTCCGGCGCGCCGTCCTCCGCTGTCTCGATCCAGAAAGGTGACGAGTGGGACTATGTTCAGCGCTGCGGCGCGCCGGGTTCAGCGCTCGCTTCGGCGCCGCGTTCTGCGGCGCTCAGGACTTCTCATCAGGATACCTCTTTGGAGAAATCCTGCACAAGTTCTGGCAAGTCCGGACCTTGCAGATGACTGATCAAGCATTGGTAAGGGGATGAGAGAGAGAGAGAGAGAGAGAGAGAAAGCTCGAAATGCAAAGCAGATGTGTGATGTCACCCGCCCCAAGGTGTGATGAAATCGTCCCAGGAGCTCGTAATAAGTTATGTCACCTGTGAAGAATTGAAAGGGAACATATAGAGATGAACTGAGCACGGTTTCGATCGAGGGCTTCGGGGCCCCGGGGCCATGTTCTTGGTAGCTCATCAGATTTCTCTTTCGCCCTTGTTACAGCCACGTTCGCCTTAGAGTTCCATGTTCCCGAACATCCCGAAGCTACAAGCCGCCCCACGGCGAGCTCGCTTCGAGCTCCGTGTCGTCTCCATGTGAGGCTGACTTCGAGCAGTTCCAGAACAAGTGTTTTGGCGCAAGGAGGTATAGATGGACGACAGCTGGGTGTTCGATTGACAGCTGAGTTGTTTGGTGGGTGTGGTGTAGATGGGCGCCTTTCAAAAGCTGAAGAATGGTGGCTCCCAGTAGACTGTGTGTGATGGTCATCTTGGAATGATCAGGATGCGACCTTGGGGATTTATTTCAAGCAGCCAACTCAGTGGACAGCATTCTTGTGTCTGAGCTTCCCAACATGCTACTAGGAACAAGAAGCTACTAGGGGCCCTTGGCATCGCGACTAGTAACAAGAAACTACGAGGGGCTCCTGGCCTTACTACTAGGAACAAGGGATGATAGGAAGACCTTTCTTGGAATCATCTTCTCAACTTGTCCCCACCTGGTGGTATGATGCCAGGGCCCCAAGTACGCAAGAAATGCATCCCTAGTGCATTGGGATGCATTGGGCAACTCAAAGGTAAGATTGACTTGGCCGTACGAACCAAGGTGTCTTTCAGGGAGTTGCTTATGGGTTGCCCATTCTGAGAGATACCCGGCAAAGGGGAGCAGATTGCCATGTCGAGTAGACTTCGGGGTCATTTATTGCCCGTGGGGGGCATCATACCACCAGGTGGGGGACAAGTAGAAGATGCATGTCATCGAAGGTTTCTACTTCAAGAGTGCTTCGGTCCGCTTGGTGCCAGCCCGAAAGCCTTCCATCGCAGTCGCAGGAGCAGAGTCGGGCGGTTCGGTGACCTCTCCAGGTGACCTCTCCACAGACTCGCGCCTTTCCAACTTGGCCCCGAAGGCCCCCAGCCAACATACAGAACTCCCGCGAATAGGTCTATACTCGAGCTAGGGTAGACCCTATCTGCGGGGGTTGCCCGACACGGCTCCCGGTTGGCGCACCATGTGGCACGACGTGGGCAGTTGGGTCAGCTGGGTCAGTTTTGGCTCTGGACGGTTTGAGGAACTCTCACCAAGCGAAGATCGCCAACTTCAAGTCGTTAGAACCGATCTTGAAGGCACGAGAGGGGCGGAGTTCGTGCCAAGCTTTGGGGGGGGGGGCCCAGAGTTTCGAGGGTTGGAAACTGGTCGGGTGGAGGGTGAGGGTCAGGTTGGCTTGGTGGCTTGGTCGGTTTGGGTGGTGGTATGGATCTGTGGAGTCGTTTGGGAGTGGGAGTGCGTCATCATTGCGTCTGGCAGCTGGACAGAAATGGCTTCGGGTTGGTGACGCAGGGTTGGTGTTCCATGTGGGGCTCAATGGTGGAGAAGGGGAGATGCACCTCCTCCTGCTGAAGCAGGGTATAAAGAGGACACATCAAATGGTGTGGACACGTGAGGTAAATGACCAGCTGGAGCACCGGGCTCCAAAAATGGAAGTTCATGTTCAGGTGAAACATCGTTGGCTCACTTGAAGCGTCATCACTGATCAAGTGGGCCACAGGAACAACGGGTTGCCAAGATGACCCATCACCGGGCTTGTATACAGGTTGATCATCCTGCAATAGATAGTGTACGGAGCGTGTTGATCATGAAGCCCTTTTCCATTCACTTCTTGTTGATTGTTGGCTTGTCCACGTTCTATCTACTTGAGATTGATGATACAAGTTATGGCTTCTTGACGTCCAGGTTGACAAATGACAGCAGTATCTAACGCGGCTGCGACTAACTTAATTTCAGTGAGGTTCTGGTGAACTGATCTTCTGATATGGTGTGCCTTCAATTTAGCACAGAACCTGAGCAGTTCGACTCTGGCCTTGACACTGCTCAGGTTGACTCTGTTGGTTCCATTGGAGGGTAGCCGACGGACTCTGTTAATGATTGGTCTGATTCGTCTGGTTCGAAAATCAGTTTCCATCGAACCAAAAACAGCATTTTCGCGAAAGACCGTGGAAGGCAGCCCAGGCTGCACCAGGCAGCGGCCGCCGCACTGGCGGGTTCAAAACCGTCCAGGCACTGGGCATCAAATTCAATGCCACCCTGATCAACGCAGCTCGGGAAGCTCAGAGCTGGTTCTCAGGAACCTGATCAACCCCGCCGTGCCGTTCCTGCCGCGGGTGGTTCGGTGGCCGCAGGGCGGAGCGTTCTGCACGAACTCCATGGTCCCTGGCTGTGGGTTAGACCAGTTCACACCTCAGAGCTCGAGTTTCCCCTGGTAGGTCCTCTGAGGTCGGTCAAGCAGGTAGGATTGTATCCTGGTGATTCTTTTCCCCCCTGTCCATGCCCCATATAGGGTTGGTCATGGCAAGGTTTGTATCCTGGTGCCATGACCCTAAACCCCCAAATGCTCCTCAAGAAGACAGACCATTCCGTCTGACCCGGCGTTTTCGACGGGTCAGACGGGTACTCCACGTTTTCCTTTGGGATTTGCGGAGAAAACGGAACCCGTTGTACCATGTTATACCCTGGGAGTCAAAGACTATAAAAGGAATGGTCTTTAAGGGAACTGAAAGGGAACTTCCTTTACTCCAGCTGGTCAAGATATAGTCTTTGGACTTCTAGGGTATACATAGTGATCCCCAAAATAGATGACCGGATTGCACGTTTGAACGTTTTGAGTGGGGAGACAGACTTCTATGACAGGGGGGGTCTTTGGCAATGAGGCTTTTACACGACAAAACCAGGTCAACCATTCTTTTCATGGTCTTTGAAGGCTAGGGGTTATATTGTGTTTTTCCACCAATCCCGTGTTGGTCATCAAATCTCGGTCCAGTTTTTTTGGCGGAGTTTGTGATCAGGAGCAATGCTTCACTGGGTTGCCTGTGTCGGTCTTGTTTCCCCAGAGTCTCTCATGCGACAGGCCCAAGTATTTCACATGGTTTTTTCACATGCCCACGTATTCGGGAGCTTCTAAGACTCTGAGCAATCAATCTCTCCTCCCCATTGGGGCTGTTTGCTTTCGCTTCTTCTTCTTCTTCTTGCCCCTGTCTTCATCGCCGATGTCGACCTCGGTCGACCTCGGTCCCCGGCACCAAAAGGGCGGGGGTTCGGTCTGCAGGATCGGCGGAAGCATCACGTGATCCTGCAATCGGATGTTCAGATTTGCTGGAGGCTCCAGACATCCTTCATCTACAGCTGCCATTAAGGCCACGCCCTGGATTCTGGAGGTACCCAAAAGCACCATTGAGCTCACCATGATTTTCAGTCAGCAAACTGTGTGCCTCAATCTCCCCATCCAGGTGTCCTTTTTCCTTGGGCCACTCTGGCCCATCTACAAGAGGGACATTCTTCCTCCACCCCACTGTGCCTCAAATGAAGCTTCCAAACCGCAGTCGGCCAAATCACGGTTCCAAGTTTCAAGCCATCTTTACCAGTCAGTCGCCGCTTGATCTGCATGACCTGCGGCCGACCCAGGTGATGAATGGCGAACGGGGTGCAGCCTTAAGGCAGTGGGCCAGAAGATCGATCGGGGTCTGACGGAGGCTCAAGTCCACCACATAGAAATCAAAAAGATCTACCCGACTGAAGTCCAGTTTGACGATATTTTGAGCGACTGAAGTAGGGAAACTCCCTTTCAGATCCTTTAAAGAGAATTCTTTTGATAGCCTTTGACTCCCAGGTCTATATAAGGAGATCATTTGTGAACGTACTCCTCTTTTTTGGGAGGCAGGTCGAGAATGGACAAGTTTCTTGGGATTTGGACGGTCTTGTCATGTATAGCAGCCTGAGATATGTATATATATTTACGGTTGCTCTTGTGGACAGTGCAGGGTCGGGCGTCTGGTCTTCGGGGTGATGAGTCTTCGCATTCTTGGTCCATTCTATCACCTGCTTTTTTAAGAGGTCCGCTGTGCTTTTTCCTTCGGATTCACCATGGATCCCGGGCTATTTGTGCCATCGAACGGAGTCGAAAGAACTCGAGAACTCGAGAACTCGACACCGATCCGTTGGTTTTTTTGTTCCGTTCTGACCGAGAGAGGATTGAGGCACGGTGCAGCGAGGAAGTCCCAGCTCCACCCGTGGTTCTTGTCCGACGCTGTTCGGCGACCTCGGAGCGTTTCACGCAGTTCAGCGATCACACCTTCCCGCGTGGGAAGGGGAAGGGGTGGGTTCCCAGCTGATCCAGGTGGTTCCCCGGAGTCTTTCTGCGGTGGTTTGTGTCGTCTCCTCGGTTCTGCGGTGTTGCCATGGATCTCCGGGTGCGTTTGAGGGGTCAAGGCTCAGATGGCTTGGATTGTGTCTCCAGGTTGTGATTCGACAGGGAGGGGTCTGGTAGGGAATTGCTCTGACTCAGGTTCCAAGGAAGTGGATACCATGGCCACCTAGGAAGAGAGACTTTGGTTCCTTGTGCTTTGGGCTTTTTTTCCACTCTTGATGGAACTGGGAGTCGGCTTCAAAGGGAGGAGTATAAGATGCGTAGGACCCATCCGCTGGTGTGTACGAGCCGTCGAATCCACCACCGGAGCTTCCACGGGATCGAGCCGGGGAGTTGCCCGCCCACACATGGGCGGGAGACCCACCCCACCTTTTTTGGGGGGCCGGCGGCCGCCAAGCTAGATGTGGTCGCATTTCGACAAGCCGGCGACTTGCGGTTTGAGACGTTGCTGGGATGTTGACTGAAAAACGCTCTGCTTGATGGAGCAACGCAGTCCATTGGAAAGAGACTCCTATTTTTGTGTTCATGAATCCTCCATCAAAGCAGTGCTGAACTTGGACATGGACTCTGGTGACAATGACGCCCGACGACAAGCTGCAGCAGCGCATGGCTCAAGTGTGAAAACACGAGCTACACCAGATCAAAGATAGGCCTTGAAGGCACTCATTTTGCAACCCTGATTAATATGACCCCTCCCCACAAAGAAATGCATCGGAATGCCTCCAGCGGCAACAACTTTAGCCCACCTAGGATGCCCCAAATCTGATGCTGACGGAGTGATTGTGATCAGAAGCAAAAGCAAAAGCGTTTGCTATGTGATGTGGCTATCAAACCAAGCTGCCCCACACCCCAAACAGTAGGCCATTATCTTTCCATCCATGGAAGGTTCACCTGTCTTTGACCCAGTGCCACGTGTGGGTTTGCCGCGATATCGTTTGCTGGAACCCTCCAAGCAGTTTTCTGGATTGGGGCCCTTTGATGAGATGAGATGTTCGGAAGAACTTTGCAAGACCAAAGACCATCCCGGACGAGGCCAAGCGAGGCCTAGCGAGTAGACGTGGAACAAGACCACCCCAATTTCTTGTTGGAGTTGGCATAGTTGGACGTGGCATAGTAGCGGAACAGCTGTTCGCGCCGGGCTGTGCCTGGAGCTTCCCAGTGAGGGCTGCTCATGGCGGAGGACGGTCATCAACAGCGGGTGGGTGGCGGGAAAGGTCACACCAAGACACGGCCAGTGAATGACTGTAGTTTCGGGGTTCCCTGTGGACCAGTACTTCCTCAGAACTCAAGCAGAACGCCTAGATCTAGCAGAATGCCCTTGGTTTACCAGGACATGCATCTTTAGGAAACCATCCTCCACCCGGTGCTACCAATGCAAACGTCCGCTGGGACACCCACCCACGGCTGGTGAAAGGATGCTGCAGGTGCTGGCATATTCTTACCCATTTTTTTCCCCTTTTGGGCGGTGTCGAAACGCTTCGAAGCTCTTCGATGGATGGACATACGAGTGAAGGGAACTCGTGCGCAGGTGACGGGACAAACCGGGACAGCCCCCAAAAACAGCAATTCATCATGATTTCACCGAAACGGGCATGATCAGCAATTTTCTCCGGTCAATGGAGATGGTAGATGGGTCAGCCTCCCGACCCGAGGTCCACGGAGTTTCGCTCGCTTGGTCAATCACGCCAGTCTGGCAGTGTTTTGCAGCCCTGAGTGGATGGGTTATCCCTCAAGACGTTCGCAGATGTTTTCCCTGGCCATGAGTACGCCAGAATCTCCATCTGCCCACAGTCAGGACCTCCATCCACCACCTGAAAACATCGACACGAAAAAGCGGGGGCAGGCGGGGGCAGGAGCAGTGTGGAAGCCTCAGCCCTCCGGTGTCCTGCCCGTGCCGTTCCTCATGGCGGTGCGGTTCGTCGTTCGTTCAGGACCCGAAGCGGCGGCTGGCCTGGCCCTCCTACGGCCGGGGTCGAGCGGAGCGGAGCGGCCAGGAGGTGAAAGTGCTGGTCGAGGTGAGGATTGCGAAGACCGGGATCTGAGATATCATGATATCTCCAGATATGAACCATGCAGTACTTACTGGTCTTTCACGGCTCAGGCGAATGGTTGAGGACCTGGAAAAAAGCCACGGCTTTAACTTTAGAGCATCCATTTTCGGCATTCGATTGGAACTTGGAACCTTTCGAAACCTAATCTGGTCTTCGTGGGTTTTGACCAAAGCCGCAGCCCAGACGTTTTCCTGGTCGAGACACTTCTGCGAACTCCTTCAAGTGTGTATTGAGGTTGGATTCACCTTCTGGCTTCACCATCCTTTTGGGTGCAATTTGTGTCGCATCGGAATTCGTTCACCAAGAGTCAAGAAGAGTAAGGTTTCCATCTCTCTGGCTTTGCTGGGAGAAGGTCATATGATGGCTTCATGGTGGGAAAATGAGGTTGCATCTGATAGGTTGGCGATTGCAAGAACATTCTCATTTTTCTTTTTTCGGGTCATCTCATCTCCCCACGTGGAAGAATAGGAGTCCAACTCTCTAATTTACGTAGGGGTCTCTGTTCTTGCAGTAACCCTTCACAAACTCAACTTTACCTCTTGGAATCATCCCCAGAGGTATCCCATTTTACACCCGGTGGGCCGACATCCCCCCCTCATCCGAACGGTGAGGGGTGTTGCCGACCTCCCAGTCGTCCTGTCCTGTCGACCTTACTCTTGTGGCCGACGATGGATTTCTATGGGTCAGACTTTGAATGACAGGATCACAAGAAAGATACTTGCATCTGGCGCGCATGACTTCAGTCACATGACCAGTCATTGTCATTTCATTCCTGTCCCAGAACTTCCGTTTTGATTCATGAAGGACCCTGCCTGGCAGTCATGATCCACTTGGGGTTGTAAGCCTAAAAATGCTGAGTCATGACCCTTTCAAGTGCTTTTCATCCCCAAAGTGCTATTTTTAAAGGGTTGGTTCCAGGGATATGCCTTTCTACCAAAAACCAGTGCCTTTTCATCGCTTCTTCTTTGCGCCAGGTCGCCGATGCCACGGGCCCAGCGGAGTTGCCCAGCGAGCCGATCGCCTGCGGCATCGCGTGCGGCGGGGGGTTGGGCGGTTGGTTGGTGTGTCGTTCATCGAGACCTGGGGTCGCCCTAAACCCAAGCCTCAACTGGTATGACGCAGGGATGGGAGGGTACTGGTAGGGGATGATGGAGTTTGGAGAAAGACCAGCAGGAGTCTTTTCTTTGGGCATTGAATCGAGCTCAAATACGGAGCTCTTCCCCTTTTGAGAGCACCAACCAGGCTTTCAGCTGAGTCCTGAAGATGGCTTCCTTCTCCTGAAAAGGAGGCCCCAACTTGTGGTTTTGAGATTGATCGAGGTCTAGCCGGGCTTCTGAATTTGATGTGATTCCCTCCCCAAGGGCACCCTGCACCGCGGTGCTTTGGAGGTGAAAAGGCCCACGACCCTCACGTCCGTGACCCCCACCTGACACATCCGTGACACACGGAACCATGACTCGCTAATGGGATGTTCTTTGTTACTAGTAGCTTCTTGTTACTAGTAGCGATGCCAGGAGCCCCGAACGTAGCTTCCTTGCTCCTAGTAGCAAGGCCAGGAGCCCCAATCGTAGCTTCTTGTTACTAGTTGGTTCCGGGAATTTCCAGCGACTCTGAAAAAAGCCATGTCGTGGTCGTTGGAGATCGACCTACCAGGTCGGGGGTTAAAACCATTTCTACCGTTGGACCACGGTCGGTCCATCGTTCCAGGACCACCTAGGGACCTCTGATAATCGGAGGATTTCAGGCTGAAGTCCTGCAGCCAGGTACTTGGACCACATGCTGGATCAGCTGAACTCCCATGGCCAACTCAGGGTCTCCGTGCAGGACGGGTCGGGTCTCGGCTTCCCTCCTCGAGACTCGAGAGACTCGATGACTGTGGGAGAGATGGAACGGAAGTCGAGGAATCCAAAGAGGATACCTTCGGGCTACGATGGCTGCCCTACCGTTCTTTGGCGTGGTCCAGGTGTCAAGGCCTTTCGGAAAGCGACATGGACCAATCTTTGTATGGGGAATAGTGGGCCATAGTGGGCCCATGAAGATGTTCAAAGGGTGTCACAACTCCTTTCCAGCGGAAAGAAGGCAGAACAGCCTCTTCAGTCCCCTTCATCTCTGGCACAGTCTGAAGCTTCTTCCCCTTGGTTGACTACATGTTACATGAGCTAGCCGTGCGTGCGGTTGCATGAACAACGGACGCGGCGGCTGCGTCACTTGGCTCAAAATTCCGAAGGTTTTTGGCCGA